CGAAAGGAAAACTGATTAAACTTCTTTAAATAAATTGAGGATGAGAAAACTGACAAACCTGACTTTCACAATTCTTTGTAAACGCTATTTTCAATTGTTTTTAATTAGCTATTTTCTGAGGCAAGTGGGTCATCCAAATATATCACTGGATAAATCAGGAACCCCAAACTGTGTGTTTGGTAATAAATCTAAGTTTCAAAGTCAGATCTCTTCTCTGTACCAAAAGCGCCCTTAAAAACAAATGTATTGCTGGGGGCAGTGGCTTATGCATATAATCCCAGCACTTTGGGAGGCAAAGGCAAGTGGATCACCTGAGCTTGAGAGTTCAAGACTAGCCTGACCAACATGGAGAAACCCCATCTCTACTAAAAATACAAAATTATCTGGACATGGTGGCACATGCCTATAATCCCAGCTACTCAGGAGGTTGAGGCAGGAGAATCACTTGAACACAGAAGGTGGAGGTTGCAGTAAGCCGAGATCACACCATTGCTTTCCTGCCTCGGCAACAAGAGCAAAACTCCATCTTAAAAAATAAAAAAACAAATGTATGTGCTTAGTATACTTCTTTAATACATTTAAATGTTAATCGATCAGTTAATAATCTTTTTTAAAATAACGGTTCTTTAAGGCAGTTTACTAAAACACAGTTAATGTTTAATGATTAATGTCTAAAATAGAGATAACTAAAATAGAGATGCTGTACCTTCAACAAAATGAAAATTAAGGCAACAAGAATCATATTTCCAAATCAGAATGTAAAGTTGAGCTCCTGAGTGAAGAGTGAGCTGTACCCCTTCAATAGGGGGAACTATACCCCTTCATCAAATGGGAACTTTGAACAATTGCTGCACCAGTCTATAACAGCTCAACGTGGAAATTCATATCGTCTACCCTAAATGATCCTAATTTATTTTCTGTTTGTGAATAAGTAATCTGTCCCAGTTGTCACGGTGAACTTCACAGTTTTTTCTCTTCTTAGGGTCATAATCTCATATTGAAATAATCCACTTACTTATCACCTATCTAAAAGTATTCTTCAACAAAATAATTTTGTGAGTATTTTTTAAATAAAGGAGATTCAAACATTAGTTCAAATTCTCCTGGCTTTGAAGATGTGAGCTAAGCATGAAATAGACTCTCTTGTGGTTTAAAAAAATAACAGTCATTAACTTTCTGGTGATTAAAGATAATTTGCCTGGAAGAAATAAAAATCTTCTCTATGCTTAATTGAAGGAGAAATCATTTCTGCTTAACTTGAAGAGAAGTGTTTTCTGGAGCTCAGCACCTCTCCCTGGGACCAGGCACTGACTCTCACCAGCCAAATAACAGCCAGGCTGGGGTGACTTTGCTGGATTCTATCCCAGGACAGAGAGAGCCTGTTTGGCAGGGTCTACACAAAAGTTTCCTGGAAATGTGAAGCATCCTGCCCTAGGTGCTCCTCAGTCTGATTACATTTACTAATGCAGATAATTCATAAATGGAAATGGCAGTCACAGAACAAATGAAATAAAGACACATGGAGACTGGGAATAAGATATATTTGTGTAAGAGCTCCTCAGACTTTAACACAAAGACAAAGAAGGTCTATAAAATAAAAACAAAGACCAAGAGTAGACTTGTCATTAGTAACTCCTTAAAAATATGTAGATTAAATTTACATTTTTAAAATTGCCATTAATTAGTGAGTTATTCTTATTTGTCAGATGTCTTTCTTTCCCCAGCAAAACATCATGAAGGCAAAGAACCAAACTTGTATACCCTCAAACCTAGGAGGGTCTGTCACCTAAAAGATGAAATTCACATGAATGCTGCACAAATAAGGTATGCTTCATTATACACTATGCAGAACTTCAAAGTTTTACATAGAATTGTGTTACCATTGATATATCAAATCAGGAAAATGGTTAAGTCTTGATTGTCTGAAGATTAATTCTTAGAGGAGTAAGTCCTGGTTTACACTTTTCATTGTCCTGGCATAAACATAGAATTCTGTTTCCCACTCAAAAGTGTTCCAGTTTGAATTATAAATTACATTGTCACTCTATTTATAAAATACTCAGGTCTAGGCATTTCAGCAAATTTGCTCCAAAAGACTGCAATGCTTTTTCCAATAAATGTCATATCACAATTGATCATTCAACACTGTACTTTAAGAATTTATTTCTAGATGCTTCTGCCTTTTCTTTATCCTGGTCCAGATCTATCTTTCTGTTTCTCTGAAGCAGTTACTTCCTCAAAGGGGAAGGCATCAAGGCTAAAGCAATGGCATGGATTATTCTCTAGCTGAAGATTGAAGAGGACATTTTATAAGAACAAAATAATGCTGTAGTTCAATATATACGTTCTGTTAAATCTTATTTTTTAAATATAAATTTAAACCTTTGAACTATATTGCTATGTGTAAAATACTTTCAGAATTCTTGAATTTAGGTTAATGTCAAAATTATTTTCCTTATTTATTTCCTTATAGATATTTTCTGTACTTCTTTTAAAATTTTTATTTTTATTTCAATAGTTTTGAGGGTACAGGTGGTTTTGTCTTACATGTTGATATTGTTTGGCTGGGTCCTCACCCAAATCTCATTTTGAACTGTAGCTCCTACAATTCCCATGTGTCCTGGGAGAGACCTGGTGGGAAGTAATTGAATCATGGGGGTGGGTCTTTCCCATGCCATAATCATGATGCTGAATAAGTCTCATGAGATATGATGGTTTTACAAGGGGGAGTTTCCCTGAACAAATTCTCTCTTGCTGCCACCATGTAAGAAGTACCTTTCACATTCCACCGTGACTGTGAGGCCTCTCCAGCCACGTGGAAGTGTGAGTCCATTAAACCTCTTTTTCATTATAAATTTCCCAGTCTCAGGTATGTCTTTATAGCAGCGTGAAAACAGACTATTACACATAAATAAGTTCTTTAGTGGTGATTTCTGAGATTTTGGTGCACCCATCACCTGAGCAGTCTACACTGTACCCAGTGGGTAATTTTTTGTCCCTCACCCTCTTCTTAACCTTCCTCCCTGAATCCCCAAAGTCCATTATATTATTCATATGCCTTTGCAGCCTCATAGATTAGCTCCCACTCATACATGAGAATATATGCTATTTGTTTTTCCATTCCTGAGTTACTTAGAATAATGGCCTCCAACTCCATCTAAGTTGGTACAAAAGACATTATTTTATTCCTTTTTATGACTGAGTAGTAATCCATGGTGTATATATACACCACAATTTCTTTATCCACTAGTTGGCTGATGAGACTTAGATATGTTTCATATCTTTACAGCTGCATATTTCCTATATTCTTTGGTGCTATTTATGATCTTTCATGTTAACTTATTTTAAAAAATAAAAGCAACCTTCATTTTTAATTTAAAAACATAATCAGTAAACATAGGCCATACTAAGTGAAATAATTTTATGTAATATTCCTAAGTGCATGTTGTAAAGATACTTCCATATATCACCCAGCAACAAAGAACATTAAATTCTTTTTCAATCTTTTTGTTGTTCATCTACTCAATGCCAAATGTCTCTGTAAATTTTGGATTTTTTCTGAATAATCTCAGTGACTATTTTACATTACCATTTTGGAAACAAAGTTGTAAAACAAGATTCTTAAATTAGATATAATTTCTTTTTTGTACATGAATTTTTATAAGAAACTGTGAAATTCACAAGTAAATATGCTATCCAAGCATGTGTGATGAAAGCTGTGTCTCCATGCATATGTCCAGGCACACACACATGAAATCATTCCACAGGCTGACATATGCTCATGCCTATTTTCTGCCTTGCTTAATTAACACATCTTCTGCTCATGTGTATCCATAAGAATGTTGTACAAAAGCACCCTGTGATCTCTCACTCACATTCGTTGTTGATTAGAAAATGATATCTGCTTTATAATTTCTTTGATTAACTCAGAATTGATACAAATTAGATTTGTGGCAAATTGTATATTAGAAACAAACAGATGTTTAAATATAATGAAAAAAAACAAATTGCATTATTTTTTATTCTTTCTGGGGAGATTGAAGCCTCTCTCCTACCCCCAAATCACACACACTGTATCTGTAAAATGCAGGCCTACGGAGGTACCTGCTGTCTAATGTTCCATGGGTCAGTGGTGAGTTTAAAGATTATTGCTTTTTCTTACTGCCTTTGGAAAAGGATAAGGATGCTGCTGGCTTAACTTCAAGAGGCTCTTCTGTCTCACAAATGGAGCTTCCTGATCCAACTGAAGACCGCGGTCAGAGGCCAGGCATTGTCTTGGAAGGCCACACTGCAGGTGACTGATATGTGCTCCCAAATGTCATTTGGCTTCTTGACTACAGTAACCTGTATGTACTTCAACACATTATTTCCTGCCTACTTAGTAGGATAACATTTCTTTGACTATTTTTATTAAAATCACACTTAGTTAAAACACCATAAAAATAATTTTTGGGTAAAGGCAAGCTCCGGGTGGTTTGGAGACATCAGGGGAGGCTTTTCTATGGAAGGAGAGGGTATGGGGACAAATCTACATGAGAAATATGAATGAAGGGTGCTTTCATGGAGTGGAAAACAGACGTGCCATAGACACACTATGGTACTCATTGCACACTGAGGTCCTGGTGGGCACTACCTCAAACACCATCTCTGGACCCAAATCACATGCTCTCCAACAATGACCTTGTTTAATAAGCTCTTTAGTGATCATCACTTCCTCCTCCCGTGCACTTGTTCTATGACATTCCTGAGAGCACGTACAGAGTGAGGTGAAGTTCCCTTTGGACTTTTTTCTTCTCCTTCAGTCACTTCTAAAACCTCCCCAGCCAATCCCCATAAAAACTTGCTCACCATTCACACACAAGTTAGGAACTCCATCTCTAAGAGCTTGCCAGCTTGAGATCCATAGCCATCGGAGAGGAATCTGAATTCCATTCTTGAATATTGTTCAGATAATTCATGTATTTTTGACTGACTGTGCGTTTTTGTATACTTTGACGCAGAGGTTCTGGGTCAGATGGTACAAGTTCAGACTGTGGTGCCAAACACCGAAGTCCAGTTCATTGTCTGTCTTTAGGTGAGTGTATGTGAGTCTTACTCTTAATGTTACTGGCTCCTTTTATAGTTACATAATGCATTTTAATTGTTCTACTAATTATATGTCCATTGCTGCAACTCAGCTTCACCTACCAAAGTACATGTCCAACTCAATTGCCCCAACAAATGTGTAGTTATCCCTGAAAATGTGTTCTAACATATAGAGTTGTTGTCTACACATTTCCATTCATTTTTTGAACATTAAATTCTGTTGTTATAATTATTCTAATTGCTCTGTAAAGTTCTGACACTTGCTTATTAAATAGAAGGAAGAAATAGAAAAAATAGAAGCAAATCCAGTTGCTAGACTTTTAAAATATAAATTGAAGCGTTCCACTATGTATGTAATGGCGTAAACAGGTCCAATGCATTATACTATCCAACAGAATGTTGTGCAAATGATGTTTGAGGTGGAGAAGAAATTATCTCCTGACATCTAGAAGCTGACCTGACACTCACAGCTGGGACAGATTCTTCTCCCGTTGGACATAAACATTATCAGAGAATACCAACCTCAGACAAGGTGACTCTGAGACTGTAGTAAGATAAAGTGAAACAAAGCGAAACAAATCAAGTCCACCTTACAATTCTGTTGAAGCATAGACAAAAACAAGATCATTGTGCCACTTAAGAATGGAGTGTACTCCCTGCCCTCTGCTAAATAAGTGACTGCTGTTTTTTTTTTTTAAATCTCATCATAGGTTAGAAAAAAAAAAAAAAACTTTTATCATAGGTTAAAAAAAAAAAAAAATACTGGTAACTCCAGCTTTCTAACAATATCTAATTCAGTGCAAACCTCTTAGAACCTCCCCTGAATGACCTACCTGAATCCAAATCCTATAATAGGCTCATTTTAACACTTTCCTTCTGAGACACCCACCATTCTCTATGGCATATGCTCACCAAATTTGCCTAACCATAGGAGTGTTTCTGGTGGTCTTGGGTTTGTTTAGTTGCTAAAAAAAAATTGACAGTCTAAGTAATTCTCAAGTTTCTCTTGAGTTTGCTCAATTAAATTAACAGCTTTGCAGAATTTTGTCAGCTGTGTCTTTTTGCTTTTAAGTTAATTATGAGGCAAGAAAGTTGTAAGGCAGTGGCCTTTTCTCGACACCCTTTCCTTCCCTAAATGGTTTCCCCAGCAAACTAGAAAGAAGAGAGTAAGAGATGGTCCTCAGAGCTATCAGAGTCACCAGGCATGGTGATCACTGTAATTGCTAAAGCAAATTTAGGTCACTCAAATCACTAAAGTTCATTTTATTTCAATTTTCAAAAAAAAAAGTCTTTTCCAAGCGCTTCCCAAAAGCACTAAAATCATTTTCAAAATACATTTAGATATCTGTTTGAAGGCAAAATGTTTTCACGTCCTGCATAAAACAAACATGAATAAAGATATATAATACTTTATCTTTTTCCTCCTCTGCTGTAAGTTTTCAAAAAGAAAAGCTCTTTCATTTGTCAAAGACTTTATATCACTAGTAGCGAAGAATTTCTGCTGGTTATAATGTGCAAAGACATGTATTTTTCTAAAATGTGTAGCAAATTGTGCTGATCATATTTGGTGTTAGCAACTGCAGGTTGATGTGGAACCTAATTAGCACAGTCTACTCATGTGCTTTGCTCACACCAATATCCCATCATTCAGAAGTGAGATTTTGCCACAATATTCTGTGCAGGAAAACTGTGAACTCAATTGTGTCTTTCCCACCCCCACCCACCAAATCTATATGTTGAAGCCTTAATTCACAATGTGATGAAATTGGAATAAAAAGATAAAGCCGAATTGATGACGCAGTAGGCTGTCTGGTGCACTGTTGCCATGATGCAGGTCACTGCAGGGAGGGCTTGAGGAGGAAGCAGACAGTTCATACCCCAGCGGGGGCCTCTGCGATGGGGCCAGGCCAGGTTGTGCCACTGGGCGAGGGGGAAGCTTTGGCTTACCAGGAGTGCTGGGGCCACAGCAGGAACTCAGGACAATGTTGCCCCTGCCCCAGGCCCAACGAGGAAATGAAGAACTGTCCCAGGCTGTGAGGGTGCACAGCTGGGTGTGGTGCTCCATGGAGCTGGGGAAGCCTTGGACAAGCAGGAACTCTGCCCTTTCCAAATTGACTGGGTGGGAGCTCCCCAGGTGCAACAGCAGGCTTCCCAAGCCAAGGCTGAAACCCCAGCTACCCATGTGCTCTCAGGAGCTGGGAGTAGGTGCCCAGCTCTGCCTTCCTTGGTGGGGCTGCAGCCACCCAAGTTGTGGCTGCAGATCCTGGCCTCCCACTCCACAGAGCAGGCAGGAGCCTGACCCCATTCCCCTAATCCCATTTGCATAGCTGCAGCTGCCCAAACGGCTGAAGACCCAGGCATCTCTGCATCCTTACAGGCTTACAGGTGCCTGCTCCTGCCGCCTGGCAGCTCCCCAATGCCCGCAATGGCTCCCATCTCTGAGTGGAGCTGGGGCCAAGCCCAGGGGTTGTCACAGCCCAGCTGGTTGTGTGCACACTTGGATCAGTGCTGATATGCTAGCACTCCACTGCTTTGGCCCCCTCTTGACTTTGGGAATGGAGGAGTGCAGGAAAGGAAGCTGAGTAGGGGCTGAGGGAGGCTGGGGGCTGGCCTGCAGGTGCCGCTTGGTGACAGCAGCCTGGATGCCATGAATGGCCCCAGGAAACAGACAGGCTCCTGGGCAGATGGGGGCAGGTCCCCAGTGAAGCCCTACCTTCAAGCCAGCATAGTCCTGAAGCCTGGGTGCTGGCCTACCAGTACTGCAGAAGGGAGGGTGATCTCACAGTGCCTCTTTCTGGGTCCACCCATCACTGCCCAAGGACCATTCAATATGTACTTCCCACCTCTGATGCCCATAAAAGCCCTGGGCTCAGACAGAGCAGGGAAGAGGATGCAAAGACTACAGGTGACCAGCTGCAGAGAGGAGATACTGTCTCTGCTGATAGCTGGAGACAAAGGGATAACCTGCTGGCAGTGCAGAGAAGAGCCACCCTCTCCAGGGTCTCCTCTCTGCTGAGAGCTCAACACTCCAGATGACCTGCCTACTGAGGGGCTACCCACTGTGGGTCTTCTCTAACCTGTTGTAATACTCAATAAAGCTCCTCTTCATCTTCTTCACCCTCCACTTGTCTGCATACCCCATTCTTCCTGGACATAGGACAAGAACTCAAGCAGAGGCTCCACTGGCCACAGAGGTTTCTGGCCACCAAAGTGACACCCCAAAGATCCCATAAAAAAAAAGAGGTAATAAGGGTGGGGCCTTAATTCAGTAGGGCTGGTGTCTTTATATGAAGAGGAAGACACCAGAGCTCACTCTCTCTGCATGTGAGAACACATAGAGGAGGAGCTTCACCGGGAGGCAAACCCTGCTGGAACCTTGATATCAGACTTCCAGTCTCCAGAACTTTGAGAAAATAAATTTCCGTTGTTTAAGCCTCCAGTCTATGGTCTTTCGGTATGATGGCTTGAGCAGACTAATATAAGAGTGAATCATTAAGCTGTTTACAGTGACCCTTTCCTCGTTCACTATATTAAGAACAAATGTTGTCTAAAAGAAAAATAAAAGATTACCTTCTTGGAAAAATTTTTATCAGTTAAGACAAAACAGAATATTATAACGATAAGATTTTCAGTTTTTCTCTACTTCACTTTTCCCAGCCTTCTTAAGATGTAAATTATGTACAATAGAGGTCTCACAATTTAACTGTGTACTTTACAAAGTTTCACCAGTTGTATACAAGTATGTAACTACTACCCCGATCAAGATATAGTACATATCCTTCAGCTAACATATTTCCCATGTCCCTTTGTGATCAATCCCCTATTTCTAATCATCGATATTGAAAAGGGAAATATTAATCTGCTTTCTATCACCATAGACAATTTTTTTCTAAAAAATGATAGTGTTGGTCATACAAGTTTAAGCTATGGGAACAGAGAAGTGTCAGGTTACTTTATTGCTCAGCTTTCATGAAGGAGTGAAGAAATGTTTCTACTGGAACATCTATACTTTTTTTTTTATATGACTTCAAGTAAACCCACAAAACAAATTTTAAGGTTCCCTCCTGGGATAACAAAGGAAGTTCCCAGAACTTCCCTTCCTCACAAGTTTACAGGAAATAGAGCATTAAAAGAAAGTTCATACGGTTTCCTGTGGGACAAGTAGCATATTCTTGTCTCTTTTCCGGCTCCTCCTAATGAAGTACAACTGTAAACCCTGGACATAATTCAGGATACAAGCAAAAGAGGACTCTGAAAAAGAAGAGGAAAGTGAGCTCATTTGGAACCCCAGGATATGGTTTGGCTGTGTTTGCACTCAGATCACATCTCGAATTCCCACGTGTTGTGGGAGGAACCAGATGAGACGTGATTGAATCATGGGATCAAGTCTTTCCCATGCTATTCTCATGGTAGTGAATAAGTCTCATGAGATCTGATGGTTTTATAAAGAGGAGTTCTCTGCCAGGTGCGGTGGCTCATGCTTGCAATCCCAGCACTTTGGGAGGCAGAGGCAGGTGGATCACTTGAGGTCAGGAGTTCGAGACCAGTCTGTTCAACAGGGTGAATTTCCACCTTTACTAAAAATACAAAAATTGGCTGGGTGTGATAGTGAGTGCCTGTAATCCCAGCTACTTGGGAGGCAGAAGCAGGAGAATTGCTTGAACCTGGGAGGTGGAGGTTGCAGTGAGTTGAGATCATGCGTGCGATTGCACTCCAACCTGGGCAGTTCTATTCATCTGTCCTGAAGTTTATCCTCTGTTACTTCCACTCCTTTATTGAGCTCATCCAGTGAGTTGCTTACTTTTATAAAAAAAATGTCATTATATTTTTCAGTTTTATAATTTTCATTTACTTTTTTTTTATAACTTCTTTTTCTTTGATAAGATTTTTCTATTCATTACATTGGTTCCAGAGAATGTATAATAGAATGCTGAAGCATTTTTCTGATGGTTGCTTTAAAATCACTGTCAGATAATTCCAACATGTGAT